TGTAGTCATATTCCGGGTAGACGTTGGTGTAGTGACTTTTACCCATGAACACGTATGTTTGTGTGTGGGGTGTGTTATATAGATTATATAGTGAACTTAAAAAAATCTTCTTGTGAAAAAACACTAGTCCAATTTCAACAAAACTTAGCAGGATTGATCCTTGGGTAAAGGGCTTCCAAAGTTGTTCAAAGAATTTCATTCCTGAAGAAATCTGGTTGCCATGGCAACCAAAAGGAATTATAAGAATAAATTTTTAAAAAATCTTCTTGTAAAGACCCAAAAGGCTTAGAGCTTAGATATTTTGCATAAGGCATTGTCTGGTAGACCTCTACCAAGATTGTTCAAATTATAGCCCCTGGGGTCAAAATTGGCCCCGCCCGGGGGTCATTGATTTTCACTATATGTACATATAGTAAAACATAAAATACCTTCTTGTAAAGACCCAAAAGTCATAGAGCTTAGACATTTCGCATAAGGCATTGTCTGGTAGACCTCTACCCAGATTGTTCCAAATATAGCCCTGGGGTTAAATCGGCCCGCCCCGTGGGTCATTGTTTTTTTTCCTTATATGTATGTAGTAAAAACTTAAAAAAAATTTCTTCTAGCAATTGACAAATGCTAGAGGTTAGATATTTTAAATGAAACATTGTGTGAAGTGAACTTCTAGCAAGATTGTTCAAATTATAGCCCTGGGTCAAAATTGTCCCCGCCCCGGGGGTCATTGATTTTCAATATATACATATAGTAAAAAAATCTTATCGTCTGAAGGTACAAGGCTTAGAGCTTTAATATTTGTTAAATGATATCATCTATAGGTACTCTACCAAAGTTGTTCAAATTTTGCCTCTATTGTCAAAATTAGCCCCGCCCCGGGGGCCATAGGTTTTCCTTATATGTATATAGTAATAACTTAAAAAATCATCTTCTCTAAATTTACAAAGGCTAGAGTTAAGATATTTTGCATGAAACATTATGTAGTGAACCTCTAGCAAGATTGTACAAATTATAGCCCTGGGGTCAAAATTGGCCCCACCCCCAGGGGTCATTGATTTTCACTATGTACATATAGTAAAAAATTAAAAAATCTTCTTGGTAGTAGGTACAAAGCTTAGAGCTTTAATATTTTGTATATAATATCATCAATGGGTCCTTTACTAAAGTTGTTTTAATTATGCCCCTAGTGTTAAAATTGCCCTGCCCCAGAGGCGATAGTTTTCCTTATATGTATAAAGTAAAAACTTGAAAAATTTTCTTCTCTGAATTGAAAAATTTTCTTCTCTGAATTCGACAAAGGCTAGAGGTTAAATATATGGCATGAGACTTTGCAAAGTGAACCTTTACCAAGATTGTTCAAATTATAGCCCTGAGGTCAAAGTTGGTTCCGCCCCGGGGGTCATTGATTTTCATTATGTACATATAGTAAAAAAATATTTTTGTCTGAAGGTACAAGGCATAGAGCTTTGTTGTTTGCTATATAATATCATCTATAGGTCCTCTACCAAAGTTGTTAAAATTTTTCCCCTGGTGTCAAAATTGGCCCTGCCCGGGGGCAGTGATTCTCATTATGTACACATAGTAGTAAAAACAGAAAATAAAACAAATGTTTTCTGAACGGGAGAAAGCTACAGCTTAGATATTTGACTTTAAATGTTGTTTGGTGGACCTGTATCAAGATTGTTTTGAATTAAACCCTTGGGTCCAAAATTTTGCCTTGCCCAAGGGGACAGTGACCTACTTTTCTTGTCCTTTGATGTACAGCAATGAAATTTTGACCATGTGCACAGGTTTAGTTGTAAAATTGAACTTTGATATCAGGTGACCTAGATTTTGATGATGTGACCTACTTTCTTGTCCTTTGATGTACAGCTATGAAATTTGAACCATGTGCACAGATTAAGATGTAAAGTGAACTTTGATTTCAGCTGACCTAGATTTTGACAAAGTGTCTTACTGTGTTGTCCTTTAATTTAGGCTGTGTGAAATATGACCTTCACCACCAAATTCACTAGACTCAAGTCAAGTGCATTGATATATTCCTACTCTGATCGTTTATTGAGTTAACAACAGATTTAACCACTAATCTGAGAATAAGAATTAGATAGGTCAGGGATCTATGCATTATGACAATCTTCAAAATTGTATAGAAACAAAAAAAATCTGTTCCTACACTACTGTTTAGTGTTGTATTAATGCGGTGGCATAGCATTTTTCTCAAATGCAATCTTGTTAATTTTTTTGATAAGTTTGGCTACATGCATATATCTACTTTACCTTTTTTCCAGCTCATAAAACATTCTAGTTATCCCCGAATGCATTATTTGACTATAATTCTAGCCATTAAGAATTATAGAACACTTAAGACTGTTTAGGAGTGTCCATGGCTGAGTAGTTGCTGTGTGTTGGAATCCTGTCAGAGACTTTGTATTCTTTAATGTGAGGAAGCAAATGAGATATTCCCCCACTAGAGAAGTTGGAAAGTTGCCATATTACCTTTAAATTTGCGATTGTGTGTTCAACAAAAAACGAAAACAAAAGATGACTGTGACATGTTAGATTTAATGCCAAAGTGTTCATTTCAGCTTGTCTTAGATTATTATTTTATATTAGCCCTTAAAGCTACATTAAATAAATATGTAAAAATATTTTGCAGTATGCCTAAAAATCAAACATTCTACAGTTTCATTAACCTGTTTAACAGTATTGTTGTAAATCTCATCAAATATTGTTAATAAATTAGGATTTAAAACGGAAAACCCCACGGTAACACTAAAGTTCGTATACGAATTTTAACATGCAAATGAAGACTGTAATCAGCTCGTGTATGCGCTACCTCACAGTTTTAAAGTTGCTATCCGGGACACAGCAAATATGATACACTTTAACCGTTTTAGCTTCACGGTGCACTAAACCTTGGGTTCAGTAAAAGTAATCATCTCGAGAAAAGATTAAATTTGTATGAAAACATCCGTTACAATGCGGAAATATACTGTTAAATTAGGACTGCTACTTATAGTCATGTTTGTTGATTAAAAATCATTTAATATTGATGTACGGATGATCAGAAGGCGGAGTTTCTCATGCAAACAGAACTTGTACTTCCCATTTTGCCACCATGAGGTTACCATAAAACTCATTTTGGTTGTCTGGACACCAAAATAAGACCTGGAGTCGATATAAACCCCAATTTATTAATGAATTGTCGCTATTTAGTTTTTTATGAAAATTATTAAATGTAACTTTAACATGCGGAAAACTTAAAATGGACTTATCCGACTTTCATTTTTGGGACTGTCCATTATCAATTTTAGGGATATCAATTTTGAATATTTAAAGTTTTTGTTATACCTCAAATATTTTCAAAGTCCATTGACATATGGCTTTGAAACAAGTTGAAATTTTATACTCTTCTTTCAGAGCATAATAAGACTCTCTCCAAGGCCTATAACTGTAATATGGATTTAAAGAAAAATTTTACCCTTTTCTTTACTTAGAAAAGTTTACATTATCAAGGCTTTTTTACTATCAGGCACTAAGAATAGTCGAGCGTTGTTGTCCTTCTGACAGCTCTTGTTTAATATGCGATAGACCACTATGGAAACTATCATCATCAATTATCTTCTTTGGCCTTTGGGTGCAGATTGTGTAAGGTGCAGAATTTGTCAGGCTAATTGAAATCTATTCATATTCAAAGATGGTTGATATACATGTAGTTCTACCAATATCCCTGCTTGTGCCTGAAAAAAATGCAAAAGGGATACCCGGTTGGTCTTTGTCTATTTGTACGGCAAAACATTATCAGTCTTAGTTTTTCTAAAGGCAAGAAAAGTGTTTGAAAATATTTTGATGTAGATGAATAATACAATAAATCATTAATAATTTATTTCTAGCCCAGATACACAGTTTTGTGGGTACAGTATCCCTCATCCATCTGAGGAAAAGATTAATTTTAGAATACAAACATATGGTAATGTACAATTTTACATTTATAATATAAATAATTGATGGGTTTTTGTATGCCAACTTAAATAGCAACAGTTGCCAAATATAATAACAATGTAATTAACAAAAAAAAATTAATTGCATAAAAAAAGTTTGTGGACTATTTTTTTTTTTTTTTTTTTGAAATTCAGCTGTGTATTTTCTCTATAAATAGAAACATTTTATGTACATGTGTAAAGATATTTCTTTATTTTACTTTTTTATTTTACTTCAGGAAAGCCATCAATAGATGTTTTAAGAAAAGGACTTAAGGATCTAAACACTGTATGTGAACATGTTCTAAGAACATTTGAGGTAAGTTTACACACTCTTGTTTGTGAAACCTGATTTTCTTAAGGGCATATAAATGTACAATTTAACTTATGTGAATAGATGATGTCCTCCCATTCAGTGAGATTTACATGTATTCTAGACTGCATTGTCACAATGTTTATTAATACGTAAACATGTTTGATCAGAAGTAATGGTGACAGACCGAAAACTTCAGTTTGTCCTAGAAAGACTTTTTCCCAGTTCTGTCTTATTTTATTCTTACTTTATTTTTAACAAGACATTGAGGATATTGAATGAGTGTAAGTTCAATATTGAATTTATTGAACAAGTTAAACTAAATTACAATATGCAAGCCTTTGGCAATCAGAATATTATTTAATTCAACAAGTTCAATAAATTCAGAAATGAACCTACACAAATATAATCACATCAAGATTATATGCACATCTGTGCCATACCATTTTTAAGTAGTCACAAAAGAATATATTAAGTGATTATAATTTAAAATACTTCATATCTGACATAAAGCATAACAACAACAATTCTGTAAAGGATATAAAATATATAAAGAGCCAATTCAGTGTAAAGGAACTGCTACTCTGCTATAAAAATTACTGGAATTAATTCCCTTCATGTAGGGTTTTCTTCATTCATATTTAACACCCAAACTTTAGATTGATATGAAACTTGAATTATCAAAAGTAGTTGTGATGTAAAATCTTATATGTCTTCCCATTTCATAGTGTTGTAGAGTACAATGCAGGAAAAAAAATTGGTCTTTTCTTAAAATAACCTATCATATTTTTAGCTCACCTGTCACAAAGTGACAGGGTGAGCTTTTGTGATCGCTTTTCGTCCGGCGTCCGTCCGTCCGGCGTCTGTAAACTTTTACTTAAAATGACATCTCCTCATAAATCACTAAGCCAATTTCATTCAAACTTCACAGGAATGTTCCTTTGGTGGTCACCTTTAAAAATTGTTCAAAGAATTTAATTCCATGCAGAACTCTGGTTGCCATGGCAACCAATAGAAAAAACTTAAAATATCTTCTTTCAAAAAACCCAAAGAGGTAGAGCTTAGATATTTGGCATGAAACATCTTCTAGTGAGTGTCTATCAAATTTGTTCAAATAAAAGCCCTGGGGTCAAAACTGGCCCTGCCCCAGGGGGTCATTGATTTTCCCTATATGCATATAGTAAAAGCTTAAAAAATCTTCTTTTAAAGAACCCAAAGAGCTAGAGCTAAGATATTAAGCATGAAACATCTTCTAATGGGTGTCTACCAAGCTTGTTCAAATAAAAGCCCTGGGGTCAAAATTGGCCCCGCCCCAGGGGGTCATTGATTTTCAGTATATGCATGTAGTAAAAGCTTAAAAAATCTTGTTGTAAAGAACCCAAAGAGCTAGAGCTACGATATTAAGCATGTTCTAATGGGTGTCTACCAAATTTTTTCAAATAAGAACCCTGGGGTCAAATAAGGCCTCTGCCCCGGGGGTCATTGATTTTCCTTATATGTGTATAGCAAAAACATAAAAATTCTTCTTTGAAAAACCCAAATAGCTAGAGTTTAGATATTTAGCATAACATCTTCTAGTGAGTGTCTACAAAGCTTGTTCAAATAAAAGCCCTGGGGTCAAAATTGGTCCCACCCCAGGGGTCTTTGATTTTCCTTATATCAGTATAGCAAAAACTTAAAATTCTTCTTTGAAAAAAACCCAAATAGCTAGAGTTTAGATATTAAGCATGAAAAATTTTCTATTGAGTGTCTACAAAGTTTGTTCAAATAAAAGCCCTGCGGTCAAAATTGGCCCCGCCCAGGGTGTCATTGACTCTCCTTATACACATGTATGTGTATAGCAAAAACTTAAAAAATTTTCTTTGAAAAAATCCAAATAGCTAGAGTTTAGATATTAAGCATAAAACATCTTCTGGTGAGTGTCTACAATGTTTTTACAAATAAAAGCCCCGGGGTCAAAACTGGCCCCGCTCCAGGGTTGTCATTGCTTTTAACTATAACTGTAAAGTAAAAACTTAAAAAATGTTCTCTTCAAAAACTCAACGAGCTAGACCTTAGATGTTAAGCATGAAATATCTTCTAATAGGTGTCTACCAAGTTTGTTCAAATAAAAGCCCTGGGGTTTAAACTGGCCCCACTCTGGGGGCCTATATACAGGTGAGCGACTTCAGGGCAATCAAGGCCCTCTTGTTACCTGATGGGATGAATTAGTGTGGTGGTGGTGGTGTTGGTATCACGGTAGAAAGCCACATTAAATTTACTCAAGCACAGTTCAGCCACCTCATCGTTCCTGAGCATGCTATCAAGCAGTTTACCAGTACTAGTTGCCTTCACTTCCGCAAGGAACTGAAACTTCTGTGTATACCAGAGCAGAGGTACAGTGCGAATGACTGTATAAATTATTTCATGATCACTCCAAAAAAAATGACCTGCGTTGTTTGGGAATAGAACCCAGGTTGCCTGATTCACAGTCCAACACACTACCTATTGAGCTATCGGGACGGCTTATGAACTAGTATTGTACTATTATAGCCATTAAATGATGTTTGAACCTTTTTCAGACAAGCATAAATGAACACAAAAGGAGAAACCAGTCAGATATTGAAGCTATGGACCAGTCAACTGGATGATCAGAACCCATAAACCAGTCTAAGAAAGGTTCCAGTCTACCAGAATAAAAAAAAAGAACATTGAAAATGTGACCAGTCTTTGAGGAGAACACTTCCTGTCATTACAGAGGAAATGAGGAATTGCCTGATTTAAAAAAAAAAACAGTTCTAAACTTCACACAGATGAATCTTGAATGTAAATGATAATAATCCATGCAGAGCATGTTGATTAATCTGCATGACATCTATATTATCATTGCTATAATGTATATTCAAATGTTGAGCCATTTTTCAAAACTTTCTTAGAAGTGTAAAAGCAAAAAAAAACACCAACTTTTACATAGCAAATGGCATATAGCTATATCATGAAGTCTCATTGCTTTATAAAAAATAAACCACTTCCAGGACATGTATTAATTTCAGTGGTATCATTACATGACTGCTAATAGCTGAAGATGTAAATATGTATCAACCAACCTGTCAGATTGTTAGGACATAAGTTCTTGCCAAGGACAATACACTTGTTCTTTTGGGCTGAACTATTTACTTAAATTTAAGATTTTATATCAGAATTCATTTTCTTCAGGTAACGGTTCTGATATTTTTTTTTATGATTTTTTTAATGAAACTTGATAAGTAACGCAAGCAAAATGATATTATATTTTTATTTTGTTGCAAAATTAACCCTTTCCGGCATATGCCATCCTTATTATTTTCGGCGTATTTGCCATATGGACGGCTTTTGCCGTTTCTATAATAATGATAATAATAAATATATAGATAATTATACCATTGACAATAATTATTATTATACTAGCAGATTTGGAAATACATGTATATATAATTATTATAATACTAATAACAAATAATAGTAATTATATTAATATTATGAACAGTAATTTCTTAGAAAACCCTCTGGCAAATAGGTGATCAATAAATCAATAACCCTCTGGTAGTGAAAGGGTTAAAATGGAGAAATGATTTATAATAAGTTCTAGTTGACTATAATGAATTCAATATTTTATCAAGAGAGTAGAAAGTATTAATCTTTACCATGCTAAATATTTTATCTTTCAATTTGGGCAAAACTATTCATCATTTTAGGAAATATTTCAAAATAACTACTTATAGTGAACTGTGTAGACCATGATCACCATGATGTTGCTGTCAAACTTTGGTAAGTGGGGCGTCTGTGGCCGAGTGGTTAAGGTCGTTGACTTCAAACCACTTGCCCCTCACTGCTGTAAGGTTAGAATCCCGACAGGGACTTTGGATTCTTTCATGTGAAGAAGCTGTCCAGCTAGCTTACGGAATGTCGATGGTTCTATTCAGGTGCCCGTTCGTGCCTGAAATAATGCATGGAAGGGCACCTAAGGTCTACCTCCACCTGTAAAGCTGGAACGTCGCCATATTGCCTATACTGTGTTGGTGTGACATAAAACCCAATTAAACAAACATACAAACACTTTGATAATTTAAAAGGTTTTTGCATGCAAGTTGGTATCTCTAAAACTACTGAAAGGAATGGGTTGAAATTTCACACACTTGTTCTCTGTTGTTATCTACCATGATAGGCATAGGTCCCATGACTGAGTAACGTTTTGGTTTGCCCCTTCTCTTAAATGATCACTTCCCCATTGTCTGTTTGTCTGTCTCATCAATGTAGTCTGTCTGTCTGTCTGTTTCATCAATGTACGGACTTTCTTATCAAAAATTACAGGTACAATTTCATCCAAAACTTTACAGGAATGATCATCACCAAGTTTTGCTAGTTGTGCATATCTTTGGCATTTTCCAGTTCGTTTTTTTTTTGTCAGAGTTGTGGCCCTTTATCATCATAATGACATTGTTGGTTTACAAGTGTTATTATTGGAAAATGATGACTTAACAAGATAATTGTTAACACAAATTATTGATGTGTATTTATTACATCCTATTAATTTGATAGCCGAGTGTTATTACATCCTAATGTTTAGCAAAAAGTAAAATTTAATAAGATATACTGTAATTATATTATTGTTAACTGTATTATATGTAATAATGCTTTAAAGACATGGATTTCAGATCTATATTTATTATCAAGCACTGGCTTTATTGAATATATTTAGCGATATGTAACTTACTCGTATGTCTTGATAACTAATGGAAAATAAAATAGAAAGTTGAAAAGTAGAAAAATCTATATTATTTATGCTCAAACGTTTTTGTTCATCTTTGACACCTCTTTATGGTCTGAAATTATTTAATTATAAAATGGAGGTAAAAATGATTGTATTGTAACATTGCCTTGTATTCTAGGCAGAGTGCATTTTGCTTAATCAATTGTTTGTCTAAGCAGGCATCATAATTTTTGTTAAAATTTATATTTCCTATCCTGCTGTTTTAATTCTAGCGGCTTTAAATTATGATGGTCATACTTTGATTAGTGGTAACGGTAGCGCTTTTAAACAAATGATTAGTAGAATCCCTGAAAATATTCACCATGGACCTCTACACACTAAATACCAGCCTTAGAATCCTTCCCGTAAAAGCATTTCTGAACTGTTCTTTGTGTATACTGTTTATACAATGGTAGAGGGCGCTTCCGACGGCACTACGGGTTTCGAACCGGCGATCGCGAATACAAGATTTGATGTATGGATTAAACTTGAAGTCACAAGGTCAATGCACAAAAAGCAGCTTTTAAAGCTGTCGAGTACGGACCCCGGACATGTCACCAGTCATGCCCATAAAGAGTTATTTTGAAGCACAAAGTGGTGATAATTTACCTCCATGCAATTTCCACGGAGTATTAGCCAAAGGTATGAATTTTGAACCAAAAGTAGGTCACTGTACGACGGTCAATGTATGAGAATTTAAATGTACAGTAACCTGAGACAATAAGAAAGGAGGTAGCCCTTAAAATGGCTGTTGGTGCCAGCAAAAGGGTCTGCCTTACAAGCCCTCTATCTGTGATAGGGGCTCGCGCATTAAGGATATGTTATTATCTTTGCTGTCAGAAGCCAGCGTTTATTTATCCCATTTAAAGTTATTTATAAAGGACAGTGTTACCATTTAATATCGTTCATTATTCCAGGCATGAGCGGGCACGCCTTCCGTAAGCTTGGCTGGATTGCTTCTTCATTCATGCGAAAAAAATAACGTACCTTCCACAGAAGCGAGGGACAAGTGATTTGAAGTTAGCAATCTTAATGAGGCCCTAATCCCCGTTGCATGTTGCATGTGCATGGTCGACGTCATTGATGTTCTCCGACGAAAAACATATTAGCGATGAACAGGAATCGATTGATTGTTAACGTGGTCATATTATACTAATGAAAGAATTTGTGCGATTTGAGAAAGAACACTAGAATGTTTCATATTTTTCTTTTTTGTAATGCATCCATTATTCAACTGCAACACCTCAGTTTCTGCTATTTTTACAATGTTTTGCCTCGCCCATTGCCTCAGCATGTCTTGTAGGCTTACATAAAACATAGTATTGTATACATATATAATTATTATCTTCAAAATTAATGGCAAAATATATGTTTAATTTATAAAAACACTACTTTTATTTCCCCAGTGGCACGGATTAACTATTTAATATCATACACAAGGAACATTAAGCGTGGGTACACTCTAAGCAATGTATTGTAATATTTTACTTTTGTTGATAAACACGAAAGAATAGCATTAATATTTAAAGATTTATATACGTAAGAATACGCCTGTTAACGCACTAAATATTAGTATACAACATGTAATATTTAAGAGTACAACAGGATTTAACTTGTTGTTATCCAAGTGTTATTGCATAAAATACTATAAAATTAAGAAGCCATTTAAAGTGGTCTTGGGCAATATAAAAGGAATACGTATATTCTCATTATCCCCATCCGGACTGTCTATACTTTGATGCGTTACTCTATAGAAGGTATACCTAGAAAAATATTTATAATATAATATAATATTTTATATGACATTATATAATATGAGGGTCTAACATAACTCCGTAAATTCACCAAATGATATTTGCACTCGTGCTCGGTATATTTGTTTTAAATAGATACCGAGCTGATACATTAATTACGGTTAAATTTTGTGTACAAAGTCTTATTCCTGATATTTTGCTGTCTTACTAATCTATCTATATCAGTATCTCTCAAATACAAAAGACCCTGTCTACATGTTCCGTGTTGTTTTTATATCTTTTTTTCAAAGTAGGCCATACGTTTAGATGTAAACGTGACATGACATGATAAACTTTTTTTTATTGTAAGTCCGTTCAAACCTTTTAATAGTAATGATTGCAGGATAATTTCATTTATCACATGCTCGTGCCGCTTTTATGTTGGTTATGTTATAAATAGAATATTATACTCATGTAGATTCATTACTGCATTTATTGAACTCGTTAAATAAAATATCATGCGAGCCTCTGGCGAATTTAATACAATTCGTATTAAATTGACATTCATTTAATATCCTGTATTGATGAAACTTACAAGTTTGTAGTAGTGTTGTTATGACGAACAATAGTCATATATATATATACATGTATTAGCCTTGAATAATGTTAAATCGAAATGTCCTCAGATAGTTTCCTTGATAAGAAAGAATTTACTGAAGATCCGTGATGTAAAACTAAATAAAGTGTACATATACCGTTGTTAAATAATAAAAAGAACTTCCATTTATGCGTTAGAAAGTCTGGACAGCACCCGCTCCGAAAAGAAACTCTTGCAATGCTAAGAGGCCGCTCATGCGACGCGCCATCACACACGGACTCGACAGTGTTGGGAAAGTGTAAAAAGTTATTCTAGAAAATTTATAGGCTACTTACATATAATTCAAGTAATTCTAGACTCTTTTCTAGAGTTATTTTAATTACACTATCCCAACACTGTGTTGAGTCCGTGTGCCAGTGAGGACAGTTAAAAAAAATTTTTTTTAAATGTCAACAGGGCCTCTCCAATAAGATCTATCCAAGTTACAAATATTATGACTGTTATAAAACGTGATATAATTTATTTTAACTTATATAATCTTGACTTATATTTTTTTCATTAGTTATCAAGCTGTGTTTCAATTGAATAATCGCAGGTGAACAATCGCAGAGCCAGGTCATATATACATATTATAGTGCCTACAAACCAATTAACTATTTATGTCTTGCCTAGTCAAAAATATTTTGACATGCTGTAGCAAGATTTCGCAGGTCAATAGGCATGCACGTGGAGGAACTGTTACAGGGTGTGGGGATGGAGTTCTTATGATAACTTGTCAGCAGTACTTCTGATAACCATGATAACTGTCACGGATTTCGTCGGAAAACTTTTGTATATACCGAAGAAACTTTTGTCAAAATTTTTAAATTTTTGAGTTTGAGGTGCTAAATTAAAAGTTGATGATTTAGCTTGCTTACCATATTGTATTATTGTCAGAAAAAAACTTTACAGTATAGTTCATTTTTCATCGCCTAATTATTTGCTCATTCGTACATATTGATCTGTTCTTTTGTGATCTCTTCCTTGCCTTATTTCTTAGTTACCTAATTATAATGAAAATTGAAAACATAAAGCCCCAGGTAACAAATTTATGCCCGATTTTTCAAATGTCCTAGAATTTTTCTGATAACTCTGAAGATGTCCCAGAGATCTTCTGATAACATTGTTCCTGCCAGTGTGTTTCTTGTAACGGTGCCTTTTACGTTTTTTTTATATTACTCAATAAGGGTGTAAATCGTTATGAAAGGTAGTACACTCATCCTTTGCGCCAAGATTTGGTTATATAATGTTGGCTTCGAGTGTATTTCAGGTCAATATATATATATATTATTCTTACCTCCGTTTCTTGTGCTTTTTTCTCATTTTAAAGCATTCTTTGCTAACGCAGAGCAGGTCAATAATGTGCGAGACGAATGAGCAAATACTTTGCAAAATTTTACACAAAACTGCCAGATTTTAAACAAAAGGCAAGAAAAATGGACAATAATTTTTTTTTCTGACAATATTACATTATGTTCATCAACGTTTAATTAAGCACCCCATGATCAAACTATGTTAGCATTTTTGACGAGTGTTTTTAGATATCAGGGTCTGTACATAGTAATAGTATTATACACAAGTTTTCCGACCAACTCCGTGACAGTTATCGGAATAAATCATGACAAGTTATCATAAGAAGTAATGTCAGTTCCTCACTTTGCCCCTACTGTAGTACACAAAATAGATCTAGCACATTAAAAATGATCTCCTGTACTGACTATAGGCCTATATATGGTGTTGGGTGCATCATCAGTTAATCTTGTCCCTATAGTATGGGGTACTAGTTGTTGACCTTGCTATGCGCTGTACTGCACACCTGTGTTAATTTCTTTTCAAACATACGATATCGCCTTTTAACACTGCAGAACCTAATTTATCAATTTTTATGGCTAATGGAAAAACGCGGAAGTCCATGTCTCATGTGATCAGTCACATGATCATGGATAGACGTCATGCTGGGTCAAAAGCTGTGATTAACAAATAAAACACAAACAAACCACTAGTGGCAGTTTAATAGGCGATTCAATTTTGTTGGTTTGTATTTTATATCATATTTAACCTCTGAAAAGCAACACTTCTTCCTATTTTCCTTCTCCATAAATCCACAATCACTTTGAAACTCGCTATTTGTTGTAGAAAAAAGTGGGTGGGGAAATGTTTTATTTTGATCAAAATCGATCCTACAATTATCTACTTAGACTGTGATATCTTTTTACATAGATTTCTTTTCTAAATCTCCTTTTATGTTTTGCCAGGTTAATTTCGATGCTTGCTATGGCTTTATAGTTCATTCTGGGACATAATATTACAAGCAACAACTGACTAGATTTAATATAAGCAGTCTTATGAGTTATATTGTTGACCATTTGATGCCTGTATATAAAGTGTCTTAAGGCATATCTACGTACACTACCGTATTATAAGAATATAATATATAGCCCGGGGTTCTATGATATCACGGTACTTATCGTTTATCAGAAAATATTTAAATATAAATATCATAAATGAATGAGATTTTTTTCTATCTTATAATTGAACAATTTCCAGAACTGTTTGTCAAAAAATTATTTCAAAAGAACCAACAAAAATGACATTTTTTAGAATATTTTCAATGTCTGCCATTTTGGGAAATTTTCAGAGGTTACTACGGTATCAAGGTAATCCCCAAAAAAGCAAGTATGGAAGGATAGATGGGTCAAAACTTTCAAGTTAAAGTTGTGAAAAACTTCCAACAGCTAACTTGCTATAAAATTAAAACTATATGAACAGACTATATGTCAGTCATATGTGTTTATAACATATTTTAATTAACTGTGTAAAAACCATTAAGGAAAATGGTAGTCAAATATGAAGGTTTTATAAAATAGTTTTCTTGCCACAAATACATTCATTATTCACCAAATTAAATTCATTGGCAGGTGAAAATGAATCTAGTGTGCAAGTTTTACAAATATTAGCATCATCAGGTGTTGCTTTTACTAGCAGTCACAGAAAATTTAAATGCCTTGATATCATAGAACCCTTGATATCATAGGAACCGAGTATATGTATAAATTGTCATGAATGATTTAATGACCATTTAAATACTAAAAGATTAAAGTGGCCTAGTGGTTAAGGTGTCAGCCTCACAACCCAGGGATGATGGGTTCAATCCCTAATCGGGTCATGACCATGGTTCTTCATATGTCACCAGTAACCTAGTGCTTGGTTCCAGGAAGTGGACTCGAAAGTGATTAATATAAGTCGCAAGAACTTGTTTTGCAATTGAGCTTCAATAAATATGTTGAAACCAAACCACTACTAAAAGACTGTCAAAATATTATGCTAGTTGGCTTCTTTTCTTTTTATTTACATTGTTTTACCACACAAAAAAGTGTACCCTTTCACAATGATCAATAAGACAAAAAAATTTTGTATTAGCTTAATTAGACAAAAAGATAAATATCCCCAGGTGCTACTGTAGTTCCATTGTTTCAGTCTGATTTGACTTACTTGATTTGTTAGGTTTGTCAAAAGCAAAGTTTTTTTGCAAGTCATGCATGACTAATAGTGTGTTTAATTTTCAACTTTTGACGCTAAGAAATGAAACATATTAAACTTTATAACATGTACTGTTTTTTTTAAATTTTATATATTTAAACTGATCATTTTCACGTACCTCTATCAAGGAAACACATTAATATCTCAATATAATTTCTTTCATATCATTATGTAAACAAAAATTGATATATGCCTAAAATGTAGAATAAAAATGGTGATGACCTCTACATTGTAAGAGATATTTGATTATTTCATTTAATACGTCATTTAATTTGAAAAAAAAAAACACAAACAAACCGCAAGACATACATCCCAGAACAGAAATGAAAAGTAAGGTAATCACCTTATAATGAGCAATTAATTTCAAAAGTGGTCAGTATGAAAATTTATTTTACTATCAACATAATACTGTTGTAGATGATATAGACACCATGTATTTCATTACAAAGTTAACTGATACACTTGCCTCGTGTCAATTTTATTTTCGATGTATTGATGTATCACTGTCATTGACAGTTGTGCCTGATTTGTCATTATAAAATGAACATCTTGATAGAAGATCTATGTACTAAATTGTAAGTTTTGATGAATACTAATTAGCTTTAGGCAAATCTCATTGTTAAAACATGCAGTATTGAAACAATGCCTCTTTTTGTCCTGATATAATTACTTATTGTATGTAACTATGAAATCCATTGTTGCAAAGCAAAGACTTTTTTCCCAATTTTCTTTTCATTCATCACACAGGATTTATTTTGCTTTCAGTTTACTGAAAATTAAAAGGCATATGCAAAGTTGAGGAAAAGTTAAATCATATATGTTTTTGGCAATTTGAATTTGGAAAATGTTTAGATAATCAAACATACATGCAAATTAAAAGCTGATAAGAAAAAAGTGGATTTAAAGATATTCTTTTATTGAAAAGTAGAAGGAAAAAATAAGAAATCATGGAGAGAGATATTATTAAAGAATTTAAAATTAAGAAAAATGCTGGCAAAATGAGAAGTGGCAATCCCAATCTAAAGGTAAATGGTATAACTGGAAAGTTTAGAAATTTATTATATACATGTACTTATAAATGAAATATGACAAGTATTGATGAAATAAAATGTGTATTTTCATTTTCTGTATTTTCACTGTATAAATTTATTTTTTCACTGCAGTGAAACATTATTTCCGTCTTAAATAAATAAGATGTGAAGTTTCATTATAACACTTTATTTTTCAATGCAGTGAAAAATTTTTTCTGTATTTTCACTGGTGTCTTGCCAGACAACTGTCTTTCTAAATTCAGCCAATACACATAAATTAAGAGAAAGACTTTTGAATTGTAAGATCAAAAAAGTAAATAATAAACAGTATATTCAAGTTTTTCTATAAATACAGGATTTATTTTCATCTTGTGGGTTTGGAAATTATCATATTTCACTTGTGGCTACCACCAATCATGAAATATTTATTTTTCATACCACTCTATGGAAATAAATCCTATATTGGTAGAGAAAACTTGAATATCCTCTATTTATTATATACTAGTAAATGAAATAATCAGAAGTATTGATGAAGTAAATGTTTATTTTCATAATAAAACTTTACTTTTCACTGCAGTGAAACATATTTTCTGTATATTCACTAGTGTCTTGCTGGACTACTTTCTTTTGAATTCAGCCGATACTCAAAATTAAGTTTTTTCTATAAATACAGGATTTATTTTCATCTTGTGTGTTTACACTATTAGGACAACTTTAAAACTGATGTGGGAGCATTATTCTAATACATCAATTTTTTGTTTTGTTCTTTATTTAAAATCTATAAAAGAATAAAAAATTATGATTTTTTTTTATCATAAACCAATGCCGCTTTAGCAACTCTGGTATTGCACAGCCAATAAATTATGTTTTGATGTAACATGACGTCTTTTGTATTATACAAACATAGTGTTCAAATGGGCTAAATGTTAATGATGGAAAAATGATTTGAGCCGCGCCATGACAAAACCAACATAATGTGTTTGCGACCAGCATGGATCCAGACTAGCCTGCGCATCCGCGCAGTCTGATCAGGATCCATGCTGTTCGCTTACAAACCGTATAGCATGTAGTGAAACTGATAGCGAACAGCATGGATCCTGATCAGACTGCTCGGATGCTCATATATTTTTACTGCAAACAGTTCATATTTGATGAATAGAATATTACAGATAAAGGATATTCAAGATTTTTCTATAAATACAGGATTTTATTTCATAGATTGGTATGAAAATAAATATTTCATGAATGGCGGGAGCCACAAGTTAAATATAATAATTTTCATATCACAAGATGAAAATAGATCTTGTATTTTTTAGAAAACAAATGAATTTTCTGTTTATTATACTTTTTCTCTTTGTTGACATAACAATTCTTAAGACGTCTACTTTAATTTTTATGTATTGGCTGAATTAAGAAGAAAGTAGTCCGGCAAGACAACAGTGAAAATATGGAAAATATGTTTCACTGCACTGAAATATTAAATTTTTGCAGCTTCAGTACTAAATTTATTGGTCTTGGTGAATAAAATAATAATATTATGCTCCCCAGAGTCTTGAATAACATAATTTTATTCAACCTCTTCAATGATTTCAGTATTGAACTTGACTTATTAGAAATCTTCTTTTTATTTCTTACTTCATGCAGACAAATAAAATCTGGTTCAGAATTTATTTCAATACATGATATACAAGATATCGTATCTGAAAATTATCTTGCAATATGGCCATGTACCTAATCATTCATCATAAAATTAAAGTACATACATGTATATTATGAATACAATTGTATGATATATAATTATTCAAAGTAAACAAGTGTCCTCAATGAATTGTAGAAACCAATTGCCATTTGTATTGTTTGCTGTTTAATACAGTAGTATAATATAATTTGAATTTTCATTTATATACACTTTGCTACATTAAAGTTCATTTGGTTATATCATCATAAGATAGGCAAATGTTTATGCCTATAACCTTTTGGCTGCTAGCAGGAACTGAATATAACCAGTGCAGACAATGATCGTGCTGTCTGATCGTGGGCAGCACTGTTGCTATTCTGTTTGTACTTACAGTAAACTTCATTTATAACAATATTCAGGGGTCTGCCGATTTTATATTGTAATATCCAGATATGGTTATATTTGAGTGGCAACCAGTTTGAAAATAGAAGTCGGGGACCATGGCAAAAGCATCATTATACGTGTTATAGCGTTAAAATCGATATTGTTTATGTAGAGTTTACTGTATTTTGAAATTTTAAGTAAAATGACAAATGGTTTTGTCCAGATTGACAAGTCCATTAAAAATAGTATAATAATATGTAATAATTGCGGACAGACCTCTTAATTAAGGTCAAGTTATCTAGAGCATAGTCATACATTTAAGTCAATATGATGCATCAATATTAAACTTCAAGTTCATAATACCCGATCAACAAGGAAGCATGCTTGGGATTTAAAAGTTTTAAACAGTATGTAATTGTTTATTACATTGCCATATAACATTTTCAAATTTTTTAGAGATTTTGCATGTTGGGTATGGGACCATTCCCTTAAATATTTGGGAAAATAACTAAGTATTTTGTAAAGAAGATAAAAAAAATCTTAGTATTATTGTTTTAATGTCTAACAAAAGTAAATCATTCTGCAGAATTTGCTGGTCAATCCCAGCTGTTTTGGTAAAATTAAGTGCATAAGCATTGAGCATTTCTGAATTTGAGGGAGTTAGCTCAAAACGTGTCGGATGTAGGAGTGTAGCGGTTACAAACATATTTTAATGTTGTTGGAGAAGTGCCTAATGTTTCTAAGGATCATAATAATTTTTTTCATAATAACAGCTTATCAAGACATTTACATGTGATTGAATTTATCAGAATTTATCTTAAGGTTGTCTTACTGTAATGCTTTACCGCCAAAATATTCTTACATTGGTCAATATCATAATAGAATCGGTCATTTCCAGAATGTTATTTTTCACAATCTTCGGTATTGGTTTATAATATGAGTGAAATAATCAGGAAATAACAGATTTCCTACGAATTTGGTCGATGTCAGATTTTTTTTGGTGGGAAAGCATTAGACTACCTCAAAAATTACATGTAGATATAGCCGTATTATATTCTAACAAGATAAAAGGTTGTTAGTGACAGGGCTGTGTGTCCAAATGGTTAACATGTTAGACTAGTAATTTAAGGATTGCAGGTCACATAAGAGTAAAAGAATAATATAAATTGGTATAACTAAGAATGTTGTGGGATAAATGGGGGTATAAAATTGATTTTAATAGTGCATAGTTAACAATTTATGGTTTCTGCGGATGTTTCAAAATTCAAAATTTTAACAGTTCATGTTTAACTGTTGAATTCTACTTAAGCAGGTGCTAGGAGGCGTGGACAGTAGTTTGCACTTTCCAGTACTGTTGAACAGACTTGATCAAACCGAGCCTGCAATATTTCTAATTTTGCCGTTTTGGAGTCGCTTTAGGGATTCTATTTCTCTCTGTTTTACTGATTTAAAGTTTTTCATTATTTGAACATCAGTCTTCATATGTCATTTGTAAAGCTTTATTTATAAGATTACATTATAATTTAATAAATTCTATTTCACAGTGGATAGATGAAATGTCTGGGAAGTCCAAGCTGCTAAAAGTAGTCCTTCTTGGGGATGGCGGAGTCGGGAAAAGTTCGTTGATGAACAGATTTGTTAGCAACAAGTTTGATGCACAATCATTCCATACAATAGGAGTCGAATTTCTGAATAAAGATGTAACTGTGGACACAGAAACGTACACGATGCAGATATGGGACACAGCGGGCCAAGAACGTTTTAAATCATTAAGGACACCATTTTATCGGGGAGCAGATTGCTGTTTGCTGACTTTTGCTGTCGATGATATGCAGAGTTTTAAAAATTTATCTATGTGGAAGAAAGAATTTTTATATTACGCAGATATACAAGATGGTAATAATTTTCCATTTGTGATAATAGGAAATAAAGTTGATGTTGAAAATAGGCTGGTAAATGAGGAAATGGTTCGGGACTGGTGTAACCAGAACGGCAATTGCCCGTATTATGAGACAAGTGCAAAAGATTCCACAAACGTAGAAACTGCTTTTAAAGCTGCTGTTGAAAGATTGAAAGAAATTGAAGAATTGTTGGATGAAAAACCCCAACATGGAAACACGGTAGATTTGAGTCGGAAACCGAAACAAAGTGGCGGTTGTTGTAATTAATGAAAAAATCAAAACTGTTAATCACTAGCCAACATCCTGTTTTTCTTGATTCCAATGGTTCTTTCATGTTTTAGAGACATATTGTTTTAACTTTCTGTAAAAATGGTGTACATGTTTCTTACTGATTTTACTGTTTATATTTGTATAACATGACTGTATGACTGTATTTTGCCTATAATTATACACTGGTACAAGATAACAGTTTGAGGAGTGATAAATGAAAAACACTGATAAAGGGACGAGCTTTATCAGTGGTTCAAATAATTAATTGTTACAAAGGCTGATATTTATAATTGTCACCAAATTTTTAACATGACCAATCCTTGATAAAAATTTTTTACTGTTGTCGATTGTTCAGAAAAGCATCTGTCTTTTGTTGTTGTTGTTGTTGTGGGTTTTTTATGTTATCTTCATGAACTTCAAACTGTCATCCTGTACCTGTATATTTTTAAAAAAAAAAACTCTTGATAAATTTGTTACTTTAGCTAATGTTAAATGAATGCCAGTGCCAATTGTTGTACATTGTTCAACTGATCTTTGAGAATGAAATTGAATTTTTTGACTCACTTTATTAGCTTGTGTAGGGAGGGTGAGTTGAGTATGAAACCATAAGTCCTGAGTTAGAACAGTTCTGTGACTGTTTTGCTATGGGCAAGATTTTTTAAATTTTATTTTTTCTGATTTATAAGCTTCTAATGAATAAAAGCAGGTAAAAAAACTTGGTACAGAATTAACTCTTTAACTTGCAAACCAAACATGATTAACCTTTGCCAACAGAATACAGCCAGGTCGGTCTGTACATCACTACATCACTGCACATGGAACTTTTTCAATCTTCAATTTTTAGCTCGACTATTAGCAGAATAATGGCGCTTATGCAGTCACCCATGTCGGCGTCAGCGTCCCTGTGGTTTACAAGTCCCATAACTCTGATTTGCTTTTTTGCAAAATTATGCACCTTTTTCGACTTAGAATTTCTTGGTTAAGTTTTTGCATGTAAGCTGGTATCTCCATAACTACTGAAGGGAATGGATTGAAACTTCACACACTTGTTCTCTGTGATTATCTTACATGATTGGCACAAGTCCCACAACTCTTGATCATTTCTTTTTATAATTATGCCCCTTTTTCGGCTTAGAAATTCTTGGTAAAGGTTTTGCTTGTAAGTTGGTATCTCCTTAACTACTGAAGGGTTTGTGCCTTTTTTTGGGACAAATTTATGCATACATAATAATAGAGCAGTGATTTACTCGATAAAACATCTTAATAACAAGCCTTTGTACCGTTTTGGACCATTTATGTATTCACATAGGTAAGCATTATTATACTTGATGAAACATCCTTGTGACAACTTTACGAATAGTCGAGCGTTACTGTCCTCAGACAGTTCTTGTTGTATTATGAAATCAAAATCCCTTAAACCTGGAATGGACTGTTCCAAATTCAAAGCTGGGCAAGTCCATTACACAAATTCAGCAGGTTATTTGCCTGTTCTTGGTTTTTAGCTCACCTGTCACAAAGTGACAGGGTGAGCTTTTGTGATCGCTTTTCGTCCGTCGTCCGTCCGTCCGTCCGTCCGTAAACTTTTGCTTTAAATGACATCTCCTCATAAACCACTGAGCCAATTTCATCCAAACTTCACAGGAATGTTCCTTTGGTGGTCACCTTTAAAAATTGTTCAAATAATTTAATTCCATGCAGAACTCTGGTTGCCATGGCAACCAAAAGAAAAAACTTTAAATATCTTCTTTTAAAAAACCATAAGAGCTAGAGCTTAGATATTTGGCATGAAACATCTTCTAGTGAGTGTCTACCAAGTTTGTTCAAATAAAAGCCCTGGGGTCAAAATTGGCCCCGCCCCTGGGGGTCATTGATTTTCCCTATATGCATATAGTAAAAACTTAAAAAATCTTCTTTTAAAGAACCGTAAGAGCTAGAGCTTAGATATTTGGCATGAAACATCTTCTAGTGAATGTCTACCAAGTTTGTTCAAATAAAAGCCCTGGGGTCAAAATTGGCCCCGACCCAGGGGGTCATTGATTTTCCCTATATGCATATAGTAAAAACTTAAAAAATCTTCTTTTAAAGAACCCAAAGAGCTAGAGCTAAGATATTAAGCATGAAACATCTTCTAGTGAGTGTCTACCAAGTTTGTTCAAATTAAAGCCCTGGGGTCAAAATTGGCCCCGCCCCGGGGTCATTGATTTTCCCTATATGCATATAGTAAAAACTTAAAAAATCTTCTTTTTAAAGAACCATAAGAGCTAGAGCTTAGATATTTGGCATGAAACATCTTCTAGTGAATGTCTACCAAGTTTGTTCAAATAAAAGCCCTGGGGTCAAAATTGACCCCGCCCCAGGGGGTCATAGATTTTCCATATATGCATAATATTATAGTAAAAACTTAAAAAAATTTCTTTTAAAGAACCCAAAGAGCTAGAGCTAAGATATTAAGCATGAAACATCTTCTAGTGAGTGTCTACCAAGTTTGTTCAAATTAAAGCCCTGGGGTCAAAATTGGTCCCGCCCCGGGGGTCATTGATTTTCCCTATATGCATATGGTAAAAACTTAAAAAATCTTCTTTTAAAGAACCATAAGAGCTAGAGCTTAGATATTTGGCATGAAACATCTTCTAGTGAATGTCTACCAAGTTTGTTCAAATAAAAGCCCTGGGGTCAAAATTGACCCTGCCCCAGGGGGTCATAGATTTTCCCTTTATGCATATATATAGTAAAAACTTAAAAAATCTTCTTTTAAAGAATCCAAAGAGCTAGAGCTAAGATATTTAGCATGAAACATCTTCTAATGAGTGTCTACCAAGTTTGTTCAAATAAAAGCTCTGGGGTCAAAATTGGCCCCGCCCCAGGGGGGTCATTGATTTTCCCTATATGCATATAGTAAAAACTTAAAAAATCTTCTTTTAAAGAACTCAAAGAGCTAGAGCTAAGATATTTAGCATGAAACATGTTCTAATGGGTGTCTACCAAGTATGTTCAAATAAAAGCCCTGGGGTCAAAACTGGCCCCGCCCGGGGGGGGGGGGGTCATTGATTTTCCTTATATGTGTATAGCAAAAACTTAAAAATCTTCTTTGAAAAAACCCAAATAGCTAGAGTTTAGATATTAAGCAGGAAACATCTTTAAGTAAATATCTACAAAGTTTGTTAAAATAAACGCCCGGGGGTCAAAACTGGCCCTGCCCCAGGGGTGAAATTGTTTTTAACTATATGTGTATAGTAAAAACTTTAAAAATCTTCTTTTAAAAAAGCCAATGAGCTAGAACTTAGATGTTTAGCATGAAACATCTTCTTATGGGTGTCTACCAAGTCTGTTGAAATAAACAAATAAAAGCCCTTGGGTAAAAATTGGCCCGGGGGTGGGGGGCCTATATACAGGTGAGCGACCTCAGGGCCATCATGGCCCTCTTGTTTTACTAAGATACTGCTTTAATTGATGCTAAAACCTAGATGACAAACAACATGAAATTTCATTAAGAATTTCTTTGAAAAAATAGTTCTTTCTAGCTGTTTAAAAAAATAAAGTAAAAAGATGTTTGTTGTTGTATTTCTGAACTGTGTTTCTTTCTGTGATATGCAAGGAGGTTTCTAAAAGCAGGTTTTCCATATAAAACAGTCATGTTTTCCATACAAAATAGCTTTTCCATAAAAAATTTTTAACTTTAAATACAATATCAATAATTATTTAAGATACTAGCTGTTTTGGCTCTTGGCCCCTTTCTTTACCAACACTGACTTATAATAATTGAACATCATAGAAGGTGATCACTTAGCCTGGGATTCAGGCGTTGATATTTTTTGCATATTCATAACAAATGCGCTATTTCATACTGGATCGTTTTTTGAAAATGTCAATTTGCCGAACAGAAGCACATGAAATAATTGATAGACAGAAACCAAGCTAGTGATCACTATGAATTTTGTTACTCTAAACTCATCTGAGCACAACATAATCAAATATGAACTGTTGTGGACATTATTTACAATATCTTCTCCCAAACCACTGTTTTGATTTGCACCAAACTTTAGCAGAATGATTCTTTGGTGATCTCCTTCAAAGAATACAAAAAAAATCCAGTCTGGTATACAAGATATTTCTCTGATCTTCAGATTTTCACCATTGCGATTTTAAACTTAGAGTGTGTGAAAGTTTTACTTTGGATGACCTTGACTGAAACCCAGTGATCTACATACTATTTTGAAGAGGTTATGGGTCTCTTTTCTTATGACCATTTGATACATGTTTTCTAGAGAGGCTGGTATCAGCTATAGGGCGTTCTTAAGTGATTCCAATATTAAGTTGGACTTTATAGAGGTATTGCATGTTCCTGTTCCTGTCGTTGATCAGAACTTCTATGTGTATTGTCTTCATAATTGGCCACAACAACCATTTGGACAAGACCTTCAAGCAGACCAGACTAAACTTGATCTTCATTCATAAATGACCTTGACCTTCAAGGTGAAATTTCTAAATTTTCTTGATTTTTGCTTTTAGTGACTAGACCTTATTATTGTTATTTTAGAATGGATTATCTTGAAACTTTATCACAACAATCTTCTAGGATAGATCTTCAAGTAAACTAGACAGACCTTGAAGGTCAAATTATTGAAAAAAAATATATTTTGCTGTAACTGTCTATAACTATATTATTTATGAATGGATTGACTTCATTTTAAGATACAACATTATTTAAGATACGACCTTCATGTGTACAGAACTCAAATTGACCTTGGATCATTTATAACCTTTATCTTGGAGGTTGAATAACTGAATCTTCAATGATTTTTGACAGTAACTTGGTAATTAATAAATGGATTATCTTCATATTTGGACTAAACAAAGTTTTTGAAAAGACCTTCTTAAAGATAACTGACATTGAGCTTCAAATGACCTTGACCATCAATGCCAAATTATTAAATTTTGATTAAATTGTCATAATTTTTTTATTTATGTACGGATCTGATTTAATCTTGGACAAAACAACTTCAACCAAACAAACATATTGAATAATAAAGATGTGACCTTGACCTTTAATTGACCTTGACTTCAAGGTCAAATTTATAAAATTCTTTAATTTTATCCTAAAGCAATGAGATTTAGACCGTGTGCTTAGTTTTAGATATAAAATTGAACTTTGATATCAGCTGACCTAATTCTTGATGAAGTGACCTACATGTACTTTTAAACTTGGATATCAGCTGACCTAGATAATTTGATCAAGTGACCTACTTTATTTTCCTTTGATGTAAAGCTATCAAATTTAGACCATATGCACATTTTTAGATGTAAAATTGAACTTTGATTTCAGCTGACCTAGATTTTGATGAAGTGACCTATTTTCTTGGCCTTTGATATACAGCTTTGAAATTTTGACCATGTGCAGTTTTAGATGTAAAATGGAACTTATGGAAATGATTTATATTTGGACAAAATAACAAGTGTGACTATAGACATATCTATTGATTTTTTAAAAAGGAATAACTTTTTTTTTTAAACCCCGGAATATTTAGTTATTGAACTGTCCGTCCATCCTTTCCGTACGAGGTTAACCTAAAAGGCCAAGTTGGATTTTTCTTGAGTTCATGGTTTCATAATATACACACTCACTTATCAATACAAAGTACATGAGCTGGGCAAGTTATATAACTGTGGCTTCCATATTTACCTATCCAGGACTTTGAAAATGAATATGGTTAACATAAA